CGCGCGGGAGGAGGGGCGCGGGGAGGAGGCCAAGGCCGAGGTTGACCAGTAGGCCGGAACAGCCAGCTGAGGGCTTTAACTCTGGAGGTTGTAGGGGAGGGGTGCGGGGGATCCAAGGCTGTGGTGAAGGAGAGAGACCAGAAGCAGCCGCCAGCAAAACAGAGCTCCAGAAGCCCACACTAGTCCTGTGTGACACCCAGGGAGACAGAAGCGGCCCTGTGGTGCCCAGCTACAGGAGACGACCACGGGGCATTTCACTGCCCTTCAAACCACTGTTTGGTTGTCCCTGTGCGAGACACAGCACGTCACAACAGAGTGGGCACCGCAAAGGTACAGGGCCAGGGTCCACTCCTGTGTTTGTGGCCCAGCCCTTCATCTGCAGAGCCCCTAGCAGAGACAGGAGGGAATCTTTTGCCTACCTCACCGGGTTGCACTGGACCTGGGTTGCCTGCACACCCCTGGGCAGAAGGGGCCCAGCAGGTGGTGCGTATAGACTCAGACAAAGCCAGAGGGCCCCAAGTCACCCTGGGCTTGTCCTGAGGATGGCTGACCCCTCCTTAACCCATCAGGACCTCTCTTCAGACACAACTAAGAGTGGGCCCAGCAGGCAACCACCTACCACCCTTTCCGAAACTAGCAGCCTGTGGTCCGCACAGCAACGAAGTCGCCTCAAGTTTCTCTGATTTCCTCCACTTGGAATCTGAAGAAGGCAGCTTCTGCCCAGGGCCCAATTTCCAAAAGGGCAGGTCCATGGCAGCGATAGACTGGCCTACGTGGGGACAGAGGAGGCAGGAACCTCCAGTCTTCTGTTCCTATTAAAAGACTATCTGAAGGGTTGCTCTCTGTCGCTCTTGCATTCAGGTGGTCTGCTCTGGGGAAGTGGGAGAATGACCACTCTGTTTTTGCCACCAGCAGCAGCTTGCACTGGGCTCTGGCTAATCCTCAAAGATTGGGGGTGAGGTAGTGCATCCCTATCATCTCCAGCTACTTGGGGGTGTCTCAGGTTCCGGGCCAACCTGGGCCACTTCGGGAGACCCCATTTCAAAAAAAATGAATAGGCTGTTCAGATACGGTCCCTGTTTCCTATGTGTGGGAATAAAGGGGACAGGGAGCAGGTCCAGCAAAAGAAGGGACACCTGTGATGGCCAGGCTGCTGGCAGAGGAAGAGTCCCTGAACTGCTCCTGGAGATAATAATGGGCCTCCAGTGTTACCCTGCTCACCCAGCATGGGGGAGGCAAAACTCCCAGGTGGCTTGGAACAGACCGGGTCATACCCTTTCCCGCAGGAAGTGTCCGTGCTCCCACCTCACTGGCAGAGCTGCAGTACTTCACCTCTTCCTCATCTAGTCAATTTCCTGATGTTCAGTAGGATTTTCTTCGTCACTGCCCCTGTAAGCCAAGCCAACAGGGCAACTATGGCAGCCCAGGCCTCCTCACTTAATTCTCCCACACTGTTACGTAGTGACCTGTAGTTCCTGTGGCCTTGAGAAGGGACCACAAACCTGAGTGCCCATAGCAGTGGGTTGAAATGTAAATAAGGTGTCCAGGTCGAGGGGAAATAGGTGCAACAGGGCAAAGGAAGCTGGGGCTCAGTACTGCGGCTCAATGAGCAGTGGCAGCAGATTAGAGTATCTGCTCCATCGGAAGAGGACAGAGGCTACTCAGCTGCCGTGGGAATGCAGATTGGGACCCTAGTTCTTCCAGTTTTCACAAGTCCTTTTAGTTCGTATATCACAAGGAAGGGCCAGGGCCTGCCTGGCAAGCACAAGGTCCTGAGTTTGATCCCCGGTACCAGGGTGGGGGTCATATATCATGAGAAATGCTTTGGGCTTGGAGCATGCTTAGCACATATTCTGCCACCAGTCTACACCCCCACCTCCAGATCTTTGTGTTGAACACACAGACTGGACCCAAATGTCTCACTTTCATCCAGCCTGACTGGCAGATGCTAGTTTCCAGCTTCCAATTACAGTCTTCCAAGCCCTACAACATGGAATTCAAGACTCTGCAGGATCTAGCCACACCCATTGTTAAAAATTCTCCAGAAGAGCTGGATTGGGCTGGACACACCAAGCCCTCCACCTACAGGTGCTTGCCCACTTTACCTGACAGGCTCCTGCTACAATGTCATTGTTCTGGCATCACCACGTGCACAGGGCACTTCTTAGCTGTCACCCCTCTGATCAGGTGGCTGCCCCTCCTCCCCTCAGCCTACAGGGACACTTTCATGTCTCTTCAGCCCTAGCTCCACTCCTGCATGACTTTGGAGCCCTGGAGCACGGGCAGGGGACCTGAGTCATGGTGGGTCTGCAGAGCAGGGAGAACGGCCACAAAAGGGGGGCCTTCCCACGTCACACTGTGCCTGCCCAGTGAGAGCTGTGAAGGGGTGTGTTAATTGCTCCAAACCACAGTCCTAGCAGGGTGGGTGCCAAGAGCAAGCTATACAATACGTGACTGCAAGAGGCGGTACTCCTCTGGATGGCCTTTTCCTCCAGTTCCCCAGGCTGAGGCCATGTGCCAGCGTGGGACCAGCACAGACTTATGGGAGTGACCAGAGTGAGCAAAAGCTAAGAGCCTGGTGGAGGGGAGGGCCTCCAGGCTCCTTAGTCCCAGCTGACTTGTCCATCTCTATTTGCCCAACTCTGGTGGTTCCTCAGAAAATCCCAGCAGAAAGGCAGGAGGCAGACCAAATCCTCCAGGAATCAAAAGACCCCAACCTGTGTTGTGCCGACACTCACACCCCACTCTCCCTGGGGTGCAGATAAATTACCAGGGCCCTGTTGTGAAGATTTATTGTTCTCTGCTCTGTACAAGCGGCGTCTGCCACCCTGACCCCAAGCCCACAACCCAAACGCCCCCTTCCGTGGTCCCACTCTGCATATCCCACTGCCCAGCCAAGCTCGAAAGGAAGGGGTGTGGGATTCAGTTCCATCTCTGTCGAAAAGCTCGCTCCCTGGGGTGGAGGGCCACCGCGGGCGGCGGGAGAGGGTCAGGAGAGGGCTGGACAAACCCAAGTCTGGTCTGGATGGACGAGGGAGGGCGGTTCAGTCTGGAGTCTGGAGTCTGCAGGTCCTGGGCCCTGGGCGGCCAGTTCGTCTGAGGTTCTGAAGGACGGGGAAAGAGTCTGGCAGAAGTCCCAGGCGGGGGCAGTCCAGAGCGGACATGGCCGCATGGGAAGTAGCCCAGGTCAGGTGTCCTTCCCAGCCAGGGCCCCCGCCCCCGCTGCTGCCCCCGGCGCTCCGAGGCCCTCAGCCTTGTGCACCAGGCGGTGCTTCTTCAGGCCGTAGGTGTTGGCGAAACCCTCACCACAGGAGGAGCATCGGAAGGGCCGGCCACCCTGGTGGGCCGCCAGGTGCTTGCGAAAGTAGCCGGGGTCTTTGAAGGCCTTGAGGCAGGCGGGGCAGCGCAGCTCCGGCCGCGGCGGCTCATGGGCACGCTGGTGGCGCAGCACAGAGCTCAGGTAGAAGAAGCCCTTGCCGCAGTGCTCGCAACGGTAGGCCCGCTCACCCAAGTGCAGCCGCTGGTGCTCCAGCAGGTTGGAGCGGTAGCGGAAGGTCTTGCCACAAGCGCCGCAGCGCTGGGGCCGTGCCACAGCGTGCAGCCTGCGGTGTTCGGCCAGGCTGGACGACTGTGCGAAGCGCTTGGCACACACACCACACTTGAAGGCGCGCTCTCCGGTGTGCACCACACGGTGCTGCCGCAGGTACCAGGAACGCAGGAAGCCCCGGCCGCACACGCGGAGCGGTAGCGGAAGGTCTTGCCACAAGCGCCGCAGCGCTGGGGCCGTGCCACAGCGTGCAGCCTGCGGTGTTCGGCCAGGCTGGACGACTGTGCGAAGCGCTTGGCACACACACCACACTTGAAGGCGCGCTCTCCGGTGTGCACCACACGGTGCTGCCGCAGGTACCAGGAACGCAGGAAGCCCCGGCCGCACACGCGCC